GATATCTACTAATGTAGTCCTAGGGTGCGGCCGGTGCCGTATATTTCAAAATTACGTGACACTTGACTCTTTTACATATATCGTTTACGTTAAATTTATACGAATTTTTTTCGACAATACGAACAGACAATATATGCGTTCGAGGAGACGTTATTAACGCTATTTATATCATTCTATCTTTATCACATGTATATTTATTACATGTAAAAATTGTTCATTGGGTAGATATAGATTATTATATTTTAAACGTAAATTGCGTAAACGTAGAATTTTCTGATATATACGAACGATACGGACACTTACCGCAGCAACATGTAACATATAGGTACGTAGGTGATAAAACTGAAAGATGTCCATGGCGTCTTTCGTTTATATCCGCTCCTGATCGGCACGCTACGCGATTGGTCAGTAGCGAAAGATGTAGGGGGGGACTCGGTGACGAGGTGAAAGACCGGTGGCGCGCCGCGCGCGCAGGTGGCGCCGCGCGCTCGCTCAATCAGTTGCGGGCAGTTGCGGGGTGTCCACCGGCCAGGTGAGAAAGTTGTTATTATTATTTGTACTCTCGCGCGTCTTTCGTCGGTATTCGCGTGTCGCTGCTGTTTGCGACGGCTATCCGTAGTCGAGTAGTCCGCAGTTCGATCTCCTTCGACGAGAGAAAAGAGTAGCGTACGCATACGCGTATGCAGGGTGAAGCACGAAGCAGCAGTCGCCTTATCTCCCTTCCTCCCTGTGGCGTCGAATGAGAGCGAAAGAGACCGAGCGCACCCGACGATCGTTCGCAGTGCGGCGCGACGAAGAGGGGAGGGCGCTTCCTCGTCCCGCGCGTGGGTGTGCGAGTGATAGATACACAGTTGTCGAGTGACAGAAGCGCGGAGGGCGAGGATAACCCAAATAAGGAAGGTGCGCCCTTTGCCCGTTACCACCTCGATCGGAAGTGCACAAGTGCGAGAGGTAGTGCGAGGTAGTGTGAGATCGTGAAAAGGTGACATTACGGCAAATGACAGCGAAGAGGTGAGGATCAATGTGCCGTGATGGCTGAGGAGGAGCTGCTGGTCACCCTGTGCCGCGGCGACTCCGGCTCCGGCGGCTCTTTCGGTTTCTCGTTGCTCGGCGCCTCGGCGTCGGCGGGCCTGCCGGCCGCCCACGTCATCTACGACATCGTCGAAAATTCACCGGCGGCCAGGAGCGGCAAGGTGAGTTACAACACGGCGCGGCGCGGGGTAGAGCAGCCTAGAGCTCTCCGCCGCGCCGTAAGGATGATTTTCGCCTATCTTTCTCACAGGAAATTGATCCTTACGTATCAACGATTCTCGCATGATCGATTTTTGTGTATGGCACGGTATGTTTTTATAAATGCGAAACAATGATTTTCCTACAGTTTTTTCTGGCATACAGCTACGCTATAGGGAATTGATTTTTAAGAATAAACGTACCAGGCGATAACGATTTTTCGTATGCCTTGCAGCATTAGAAATTAAACCCTGGGATGAACAATTTAATAGAATCATTTTTGTGTGCAACCAGTTTGAGAAATTGATATTCGCCAATCGATATACCTACACGCGAGACGTTACAATTCTCGCAAGATTGATTTTCGCTGCTAGTAGAGTGGTAAATTGATCTTTGTAAATTAAGAAACTATGTAAGATCATTTTTAGCGTGATTGATTTTTATAAATAAACGCTACAATTGTATTAAAGCCGACATTTGTATGCTGTCTGGAGCGGAGATTGATTTTTTTATCGATAGGTATTGAAATGAGTAAATTAAAATGGAAGAAATAAGGTTCTCATAAGCTATTTTATATACGAGTTCCACAATACTGATTCGAAGAAAAAGATTGTGTTTTTGCATTACTGGTCGGAAATGGATCAAGTCAATTTAAACTGTTTTTAAAATAGATAAAATATTGCAGATTATAACTGTTTTTTCGAACGAATTGTGCTTTTATAAGAGGAAGAAATGAAATTTATATAGTACTTCAAGAAGGTCTTCTCAGCGTTCTTTAAAGAGCTTTCAGTATACACGAATAAGAATTGATAGTGTCCTAAGTACAGCGTCTCTAAACACTTACGGTATTCCAAGTAAAAATAAGATATATTATTTCTAATGGAACTAATTTTTCTAATTGTGAATCGATGGTTAATTAAAACAAAGATTCCATCGTTTTCTGATAAGCTCTTATTATTAATAGTTCTTAAAATGTTATAAATATAAATTTATAATATCAAATTAACGATACTCTTGTTAAGTTAAATTAAATTTTAATGATTTTTACAATTTTTATTTAAGTTTAACAATTAAAAATTTTATATAATTTATTTAAGTCTAAAGTTGCTATATATAAATTGATAACGTCAAGAAGTGATTTTTGAAAATTAATTTGTTAGAATCACACAAATGTGTTAATCAGTTTTGAATCAATCAAAATTTTGAAATATATGACTGATAAATGAATTAAGTTTTAATATAAAAAAGATATTTATTTATCTTTATTTATATATCGATATTGCAAATAATCTGTGATAAAGGAGAAAGAAATGTCAAATAATCTCAAGACATAATCAAGATACTTATTGCTATCATAAATAAATGATTTAAATAATATTTAGATATGATCAAGTAGAAAAGACTGGTTAATGTGGTTACGAAGTCGCACAAGTCTCTTCGGCTAAATTTAGTTTTGACGCTGGAAACGAAGAAAAAAAATGACGAAGGCAAGATATGTGATGTAAAAGCGAGAGTGCACCAGCTGCATTCTTTCTGCATAGTGGCACAGTTTTGCGAAGAATATTTAATAACTTATTAGAAATTTCACAAGAGAATTTTGTGGTTATCTATATAGAAGATATCGAGATAATAATTAAGACTAGTGAATGAAAATTATTTGTTGGTTAACGAGTTTTTAAAATATAATTTTTTAACGTAATCTGATATCTTAAAGTTTATTTCTATTTATTTTAAACAATATTGCACCATGGGAGAGTAATCTTGTCCTGCTTTTCGTTTTTCAATTAGCTGACTTTTCAATAAAGAGAGCTGCTTTTGACGATCATTAATTGCTCCGAGAAAGATGTTGAGTCTCCTGAGATCATTGGAAATCACATCCGTGCGAATGCCGGGGTATGGGCAGCTGGTCCAAACTGGTCCGTCGTCCCAGAGCAGATCCAGCCCCCCAATTCTGGTCTCGTGTCCGCTGAAGCAACCCTTCAATCAAAATTATATTGATTTATTTATACGAAATATCTTTCAAAATTTAAAAATTTTATATAATAATGATTATATTTAAAAATATTTTAATCGAGAGCATAATAAAACATTTTATATAAAAATATATGAAATAATTATAAATGTACATATAAATATGTAAATAAATATTTTTATAAAATATAAATATTTTTATTATTAACTATATACGTACTATATAAGTATAGGTAACAATATATAAAAAGCAAGAGAAAGAATTCATGTATAACTGGTACCTCAAAGTCGAGGACATTGAGGACGTCGTCAACCAGATCGGATTTCAGACGTTGATCCTCGTTGTCGGTACCTGTTAAGGCTGGGGATGCGTTGATTTCCAATAACCAAGGTCGAAGATCATCACTGAGCAGTATATCGTAGCCATAGAGCTCGAAACAGTTGCGATCTTGCATCATGGCTGGTTGTACTGCCAGTAGACTCGCCATTATCACGCCTGCAATATAAATATAGATATAATATGTACAAACATTACACACATACACAAGATAAATCGTAAAATGATTGTAAAGTGATTATATTATTTGTCAAATCTTATTAATAACAGTAATTTGATAATTTTGTAAATACCCGCAATGCGTTGCATCAAATTTTCAACCACTTCCACCTCATAATAAGCTATCAAATAATCCCTGAGCTTATTCAATGCCCATTTACAGTTCCACTCCCCATTCTCGTCTTTTATCGAAGAGATACCCTCGGTAGTCTGACTTGCTTTCAGCTGTATTGCCGTATTCGTCAAATGCACTCTGTTGTCGTCAATGTTTTCCAGATCGAACAATTGACCACATAAACGGGCAAAACCTTCCCTAGCTAACCATACTTTCAAAGGATGAAATGATGTCACCAATACGTAAATGCGTAGATCAAACTTTCGCCCTGAAATCAGAGATTTAATTTTTGTAAAATAGAAATGTTGATATTGGAAGAATTCAAGATATATGGAGCTAATTCATGATTTTAATGGTTTAATACTAACATCAATTAGCAATTAATAAACAAAATATAAAATTACATACAGTGTAAATGTATAATATATATAACAAATAAATATTCAATTACTAAAAATTGAGGAATTAATAAAGTCATAAAATTTAAATATACACTTACTCGAATTTCATGACTTTAATTTCTCAATTATATATGTATATAACTTAATTTATATTATATATTTATATATTATATATTTATATTATTATTTATAGTAAGAGCGTAGTGTAGCAGATAGCGCACTGGTTTACTATACTAGAGATCCCGGGTTCGATCCTCGGTCGGCAGAATCGAAAAATTTTCGTACGCTCGTAGCTCCTCTCGGAAGGCAATGGCAAACTACTGAGTAGTATACTTGCCCAGGAAACCTCCCTACCAAAAATTGCCGTTC